AAATTATTAACACAAAATTCAATCATCTGAAATAGTTTAGTATATTTTAAGTAGTTGTTCTATATAAGAGCTCAGAAAAATGATAGAAAAAAATCCTAAAATCCAAAGGAAATCCCACATAAATGATGTGAGCTGAAATTTACAATAAAAATTCATGCAAATGCACACTTCCTACACACCCCTGAAAATATAATACAATAAAAGAAAGAGTCAAATGCAATTGATAAAATGATTTGATTTCAGATGAAAAACCAAAGTAAAAGTACAGCAATGTGAGCTGCTCCAAACAGAACAGGATGCTGGACAACCATATTTCCTGGTGCCTTTCTCTCTTGGTGGCCTTTTCTTTCTTTTTTTTTTTTCTTCTTCTTCTTTTTTTTCAGAGACGAAGGGTGGGAGAAGAGGACACCATGATGAGTATCTTGGTATATCTGGAGAACTACTGCCATCGTGAGGAAATAATTTGAAAACTCTCTCTGCCATTATAGCTTCCTTTCCATGAGGGGAAGATTTGACCTGTAGAGAGGCTGAAGGAGTTTGAACTCCAAGCTGGGTCTCTTTGTCTTTGCTTCTAAGACCTTGAGAGAGATCTGGACATCAGAAGCATCTTAGCATCACACCTGGATTTTGAGGGGACTGGAGTGAACCAGCACCTTCCAGAAGGTACTGGCATAGGAGACGTGGGGTAGGGCTTCCATCCTCCCAGTGTGGGAGGGTCTGGAGGAACCCACTTAAAGACAAATGCAGGCTCCTGTGGCACACTTCTCTTCCTGTGCCTTGGGACAGGATTTCACAAGCTTTCAGGTGGTGTCACCAAGCAACGGGCAATGCTTTCTTGTTTCAGTATTGTGAGAACAATTCCAGGTGACATACTGCAGGAACAGATGTGTTTGCTGGATAACTCAAGTGTATCCTACTCTCTGGAAGGTAGTAGGACCTGAACAGAAGTGTAATCACCCAGCTAAGCAAAGAAGAAATACCTTCAATAGAAGATGTACATAAAAAGATGAGAACAAAAACAAACATCAACCTATATTTTGAAAGTCTTTGCCTATGATCTCTTCACTTCATACATGTCTGTTTTGCAGATACAATTTAAAGAAGCATGATTGTTTCTAGAAATGTAAAAAATAGCTGTAAAAATGACAACAAAGATGGCAGAGCAGGGAGCTTTGGTGCACCATCCCTCCAGAAAAGCACAAAAAACACTCAATAAACTATGATTAGGATTAGCTGGTGATGTGGTGGTCAAGGCAGCTGGAGCCCACATGGCTGACTGCATTTTAAGTCCTGGACCTGGCAGTCTAAAAAACACTGGATATGTGTATGTGCATGCCCACAATATTTCAAGAGTAGAATGGAGAAGAGATTATGATGTAGCCATTCCTCCGGAAGTGTTTTCTACCTTTTTCTCTCTGTCTCCTATGAGTGTATACACCCTATAGCAAATTAAAAACAAAACTATGGTTAGAAAGGAATTTCCTTAACATGATAATGGGTTTTTGTTTAGAAACAAACAAAGAAACAAACAAACAAAAACAACTAATAGTATACTCAAGGGTGAAAGACCAAAAGGTTTGCTTCTAAGATCAGGACCAAGACAAGAATCCCCACTTTGGCTACTACTATTGAACATTGTATTAGAAGTTCTAGTTAGGGTGATCAGACAAAAAAATCATGTAAAAGACATTAAAATTGAATAGAAAGAAGTAAAAACTATCTCTGCTTACAGGTAACATTTTCTTTCTTTCTTATTTTAAAATTTACCAGAGGGCATTTGTGCTTGATAGAGAGACAGAGAGAAAGTGAGAAAGCACTCCCATAGAGAATTATCACACTACATTCCCTTCTCTCATTTCTCCTTCCTTTCAGGACTTTAGACACTCAGGCAAACATGCCCGGTGTGTTTCTCAAGTTGCCAGGTCCAGGACTTGAACTATGCAGTTGGCCATGTGGGATCCAGCATCTTAAACACTATGCCATGGAATGGCTGAACAATTTCTTATATAAAGAAAATCCTTTAAAAAATCCACAAAATTGGTGTTAAAAATCACAAATTTAGTGAGTACTACAGAATAGAAAAGTAACTCACAAAAATCAGTTGTGTTTGTATATATTATCAATGAGCAATCTGGAAATTAAATTAAGGGAATTTCATTTATAGCAGCATGAAAACTAACAATATACTTAGGAAAATTTTTAACCAAAGAGTAAATATTAGTACATTAAAATTACAAAAAATCCCTGAAGGAATTAGAGATGGCCTACAAAAAAAGATGCCCTGTGTTCATGAGTAGGAAGACTAAATATTGTTAGGATGGCAATATTACCCAAAGAGTTCTGCAGATTCAGTGTAATCCCCATCATGACTGTTTTTGCAGAAATAACATAGCTGGTAATACAATTTGTATGGAATTGTGAGACCTCAATTCTCAAAACAATATTAAATAAGAAAAACCAGGTAGAGAACTCACACTATAAGATTTGAAAACTTACTAATCAAAGCAGTATGCTATTCAAATAACAAAAGACCTACACACTGGTTATTTGATTTTTTTATAAAGCTGTAAAAGTCATTTAATGGGGAGTGAATAACAAATAAGTTTGTGACAATTGATTATCTACATATAAAAGAATAAAGTTAGACCCCTACCTCACACCATAAACAAGTTTGTTCAAAATATATCCAAATTCTAACTATAAGAGCTAATACTATAAAACCTTAGGGAGGATTGTAGTGGCAAGTCATCAAGACTTTAAATCTGGGAATAATTTCTTAGATAAGCCACCAAAAGCATGAACAAAAACAAAAAGAGAGAGAGAGAGAAATTGGACTTTATCAAAATTAAAAAGGTTTGCATTAATGAACACTATCAAGATTGTGAAAAGCTATGGAAGAAACAAGAGTGTGGCATGAACATTGGGAGACAAAAACAAAGCAAGGAAATATGAGGAAATGAAATAAATGTGTAGTCTCAGAGATCAGAGGCTTAAAGAAAAGGATAGATTAAAAACTAAAAAGAGAGGAAAGAAAGATCCCAGCACACTGAAGGAAAGAGATATCCCCCAACACCCTTCTTGCTTATTCTTTTATTATAATACACAACTGGGTCCACCTTAACCACATCCTGGTTGATACCAACTTCATCAGCTTTCCCATTAAAGCCAAACTGGACTTAATGTGATCAGTGATAGACTGTCTATATGCCAAGTGTATCCCTTTGTATAACTGTGTAATGGCTGAAACTGATAAATTGGGGCAAAAGCATCAAGTGGCTCCAAGGATCACCAAGAATCCAAGATCTGAATGATTGATTACTGTGCACACACAAAAGAACCTATGTCGGGATGACTGCATAGTACAGAGAGTAACTGAGCACAAGTGTTACATTGTGGCCACAGTCGACCCAGACTTTAAAAGAAGAATCCAGAAGATCCTTGGAGTTCCTATCATGTACATTTCTAACCATAGATATAACATTGAGCCGATGCCAGATGATTATGGAGCCCCTTCCTCAGTTCTAATTTTTAAAGGACAAATTTCCTCTGCCTTTCTTTAACCAGAGTTCCCTGTTACCTATTCATTAAACATGCTGGATGTCATGAATTATTATTCTGTTCAACTATTTGCTATATTATGAGCTGAGTACAGTTAAATACAATTTTCTGCTCTTGAAGGAAAAAAAAAAGAATGTGAAATGCCAACTTAGAATGGGAGAAAAATATTTATAAATCAATGATCTGAGAAACTTAATATCCAGCACATATAAAGATTTCTTATAACTCAACAGCAAAGAGGCAAAAAACCCACAATTTTCAAAATAAGCAAAGGACTTGAACAGACGTTTCTCCTAAAAAGATACACAAATGGCCGATAAGAATGTGAAAAGATACTTAACTTCCTTATTCTTTACAGAAATGTAAATCAAAACCATCTTCTGTTATTACTTCATGCCCACTAGAATGAGTATAATGATGAAAAACATATTGGTGAGGATGTGGAGAAGCTGGAACCCACAGATAATGCTAGTGCACAAAATTGTGCAGCTGCTATGAGAGTTTGCCATTGCTTCAAATATTTAAACATATACTTATTATATTACATAGTAATTATTTGTTAATAATTATTTTTTATTTAACTTTATTTATTTAATTTTTTGAGAGGTTTTTGCTATAGGGTGCATGTGCTTACCAGAAAGAGAGAGAAACAGAGAGACATAAAGTGAGAAATCACCTCCCAGGGGGGATGACCACACCACAATCCCTTCTCCATTTTCCTTTCAGGATCTCGGGCACGCATGCACATGCGCCCAGTGTGAGTTAAAGCCACCAGGTCCAGCAGGACTTGAACGGCGGTCAACTATATGGAAGTCTAGTAACAGCCATTACATCAACTGTTGGTCCCTACTTATTTAATTTGACCACAGAAGGACAGAGTGAGAGAGAGAAAGTGAGGAAGCAAGTTGCCAGGTTCGACGGAGTCCAGCATCCCTAAACACCACGCCACCTGCCGGCCCCTATGACCCAGCAGTTCTACTCCTGGAAGCATATACAAAACGTATTAAAAACAGGTATTCAAACAGGTATGAAGTAATTTCAAAACATTTGTGGGAAAATGGAATTCAAGTATAAGTTTATTTTGGTATAAAAAAATTGAAATCCATGGATAGTTTTGTCATAATATGCATTTTCCATAAACTTT